TGCTTCTTTATTAAATTGTACACTTTGTACTTGTGATATTACCATTGTATTTTAAACATTTGTGTATAGATATGAGCTAAATATTTGGAGACATTATGAATACAAGTATTTAAATACACAGACATTTATTACATTATATTAAAAGGATTTTGGAGCCTCATTACATTTGGTTGGCCCCCATGTGATGACAGTGCTTTGGACAATTACCTGAAAAGTTTCATTGCTATAGGCTTGTCATAAGGCTTTCATGTCAAAAGCACACTACTATTCCATGCATACTTTCAATATTCCATTTAGTGAATGAGGATGATGGTTTCACAAAGCACGTTTCAACAGTCAAATCACACAGAAAATAATAGGAATTGCGTATGAAGACATACCAGAATATCTTTTTATGTGTCATGATTTTAAAGACTGTTTAGTTTAGATATTATTGAATAATTTATTTTTGTGAGTAAATATTATATTATTGTTTAATTTTTGTTATAATAAGAGTTAAAGGCAGACGATTGTAGGAAGTTTTGTTAATAATTCATTGTTGTTGAGACTATCGAACGTAACGTGTAAAACATTGACGTCGAGAATATAGAATTGGAGCAGACGATAAAGTTTTAAATATATAAATAGTGTAAGACAAGCGGAAGCAGAAGAGAGTAAAGTTGGCGGGAAGTTAAGTACCGTAGAAGTGATAGGCCTAACATTTAATATGTTAGAGTAAGACTAACAGTAGAAAAGGAGAAAAGAAAAGTAATTCATTCTCTCAAAGCATGGTTCTAAAGTAATTAAATCAGCCTGAATGCACTTTAACAAAAGTAACGGAGGATCTTCTGAAGAAAGAAGACCAAACGATTAGGGTAACTTGAGCCGCAATTGTAAGTGAATCACAAATAATACTAGTGCAATAGTGATACTAATAGAGAAGATAGGCTTGGCAACTGAAATTATAAAGTAATATAATAGGCCTAAGTGGACTTTTGACAAGGAGAGAACTACATAAAGTGTTTATGATGTGCCTATAATATCTAAAGTGTAAATAATTTGTTGTACATACGTTTAACTTGTTGCGAACATATATATATATATATTATTTTGAAAACAAATGAAGTGCGTGTTGTTTATTAATCATTGAATTTATCGCTAACAAGTCACAGACACCAACTGTAGAAGAATCCTAAGCCCAAGAACAACATAGTATATATTTATACTATTGAGAAGTATAAGTAAAAGCTTTTTGTTTTGACAATTGGCGAAAAGAAATACATTATAAAATTCTGACAGTATGGAATATCATAAAATCCTGTTAATTCTCCAGCTGCTTGAGGTTACAACTGTTGAATGGATACATTGTTGTGTACTATTGCTTAGAGCATGTTGACAGCTTTTGTCACGGCCCTTTCTGTGTTTGTGGATTCTCATCTGCTACAAAAGGAGAACTTTACTTATCACAGTTAGGGCAAGACTTTCTTCACTTTATTTTTTGGATGATAATATTGCATCAAGTTGGTCCATATTCCTTAATTTCTCAATGTTATTAAGTACAAGGAATACCTTTGTCTTGGAAATTATAAATCCCCCAATCTAAACATATTTCTGTAATCTAACTGCAGGAATATTTTGTGTAGGAAAAAACACATATACCTTTCTAAAAAGCGATCAATTTTCGGACACCACACTACCTACGAAATGTCAGACAATATCAAAATGTAATTCTGATATAATCGCTTCCACCGCTATTTCATATTAGCTGTGATTTTCATATTCAAAATCGTTTTTATAATACGTACTCAACCCTCTGCAGTGCATCATTATGTACTTAAACTTATAAACCATTGCCACATACTAGTAGAACGTTTAACAACAGGATCTATATGCTATGTAGAATTATACACGGAGTTCTGTCTTCGTTAAAATACTTTTATTTGCGAGCTTTAGGCCATTTTAGCTGAGCTTTCATCGGGTAACAGTACAAGTAATTTAACGTATATAAAAGTCCGTGTATACTAATACATATTAGTTTATCTAGGATATGAGTCTTAAACAACAACAGGATCTATATGTTTTTAATTCGCCCTGAAAACACCTTACTTACGAAAAATAAGGTTTCTTAAGAGGAAATATACTTATTATTGACTTTTTTTATTTCGGTGTACTTACCCTGGCGACGGTAAAAGGCAACACTCCAATGATAATATTCAAATTTCAAAAGTAATTAAATCGCGCTTGATGGCAGATATTTTTTCTTTTCTTATCATTCATCTTATTTCTTTACGTATTTTTAATAAGAGTAGTGCAAAAATATAATTTCGAATATATGTTTTTGTTTTATTTTTGCTTGTTACATGTAACTACCAAAGAACGTTTCCATTCAACACCAGAGCTCCTCAGCGAGCAAATTTGCGGCAGCAAGATGTGTGTAACTTTAAGTAAAAGATAAAAAACAAGTTATTTAACACACTGAGCAACTTATTAACTTGATGTTCTCATCTCTGATTTCTAGCCGAAATGGACAAATTAAGAGGGTATATGTTTGGGAGACATCTGAAGTTAATTTATCTTTAATTTTTTTAAAGCGTATTGGTTTTCCAATGTTTTACAGGCTGACGGAGTTTAAACCACAATATTGTAATGTTTTGATTGTCATATTTCACATCATATTCTCTTACGAACTTACTTGGTCTTATAACATAAACTTTTATTAGTCTTAAATTGTATTTTTATTTCTAAGCAGTGGTTAAAACAAATATATTGTGAATGAGATGCAATATTACAGTAATGAAATAAATAATAGTTAAAAGGTTTCAGTTTCTAGTAAAACATTATTCATATTCTTAAATAATAAAATTTTGTTTTGTTGGAACATTTTCGTTTTTTATTTAAAAAGTTACTTGAAACTCAAGTGAATTTTTAAGTCTAACGTAAGTTATACTTAAAGTTTCAACTTTGTTTGTTTTTAAAGTTAAGCACAAAGCAACACAATGGGCTATCTGTGCTCTGCCCACCACGGATATCGAAACACGGTTTCTAGCGTTGTAAGTTCTGAACCTTGTGGGTCTTTGAGCATTTTACAGGGGATTCATGATGGTATAAATTAACTTTTTAAACTTTAGATTAAAAACTGACTCCCCCATCTGAGAATTTTACTCCTATGTTTTTCTTCAGCTATGATTAATACTTTTTTTTTTTTACATGCTTATAACAACAGTTTGTAATTTTATTCAGTTAGGTGCTGATAAGGTTTACATTCAAGCATTAATAAGTTGAAGTTTACTAACTGGACTGTTAACCTAAATATTATGTAGAAACTATTTTCTCTTGAGTAATATGATTTTATTCAAATCTGGAACCATACTTCTCCAGTTATAATTAATGTAACAACAAAGTTGGTGTTTTATCTCAACCTAAAAGAGATACCTGTAGTTTTTTTTTTATTACTTTTGGAGTTTCAGGTTAAAATATGAATCTTTAAATTATGCCTAGTAGCAACAGCAAGCGAATGACAATCGTTCCTTTACTCGATTCTTCCACAGTGTTTAAATTCACACAGTAATGAAAAATATATATATGTGTAAGAAATAAAGTTTAATTACTTATTTTATTTTATGATTTTTAAAAAAATATTAATTTGGGGGACGATGACAACTTCATAAGTTCGTCAAAGGGCCGACAACTCAAAAAGGTTTGGGAAATCCTGGCCTGGATTATACAGCCTCACTTAAAGATATTCAAGGCTCATACTGTTCTTTTTTTAATTGACATATTTTCCCTAATTGATTTTATTTTATTGACATTTGAGGTGATTGAAGAAGACAGAAATGTCCAGTGGTTCAACAATTTCTATTTTGGAATAGTTAACATAAAATATAATAACAAGGGACTTGTTGGTTCATCTAGGCTGTCTCTTCAACTCAACAAAATTAAATAAATATCCATTAAACCTACTTTTAAACTCCCTTAAATTAACTGCATATGGTAACCCACTAAAGGCCAACCAACCATTTAGAAAAGTAAAACAGTATTAGTTGATGATGAATTATACCATGTTAAAATCTGTATTTATGTCCCCTAGTCCAACCATTTTCACTATTAAGTATATAAAAAGTATGATGCATTGACAATATCAATTCCCTGTAAAATCTTAAACACCTCAATCAGATTTCCTGTAACTCTTCCCTTTTCAAGAGAAAACAAATTCGGAGATCTTGCTTGTCTTCTTATGATAACATTTCCATCTATCATCCCAGTACCCTTCCTCTGAACCTTTTCTGATAAGTGAATGTCCTTTCTTAAGTAAGAAGCTTAAGACTGAATGCAACACTCAAAATGAAGCCTAACCAGTGACATATATTATGAAAGTATAACTATTTTAGATTTATATACAATATTTATGTAGATACAACCTAAAATCTTATTTGCCCTACCTCTAGCAATAGGATACTGCGTAGATGGCTTAAAAGATTTATCAGCCAGAACACAAAGATCTTTTTCAACCACTTACAATTAAGCATGCTAAAACACCTATTCTGATGCATTTATGTTTTCCCACTTCCACATACTAGCAACAAAACTTTAATAAAAGAAAGATTGCAGTTGCTGTACTGAAAATTTTTTAGATAATTAAGAACTTTGCAAAAATAAATTACAAATGAAAAAGTGAAATTTCTTAAACTGTTGAGTACTTTATAAAGTTTAGAGGTGGTTGAATGGTTAACAAAGAAAAACATTATTACAGGTACATAATAATGACAAAAACATTTGTTACTGTGTGAGCCTTGTAATAGTTTTCTTCATTACTCATTCATGCCATCTCTAAGCTTCATTAATCTCAAAGTGGGTTCCTTATCTTACAAACTTTGAAAAAAATCATTTTTAATAAATGAATGTAATAATTTTTATTATGACAAAAACTTTCTGGAACAAAATTAAATTAGATGTATAAATAATTAAGCATTTAATTCATAGTTCTTATCTTTATGCTAAAAAACAAAAATTAACAGAAATGGTGAGTTCACAATTTCTTTCATTATTTTATTCCATTACAAAACTTACAAATTGGTAGATTTACATAAGCAGTACATATAGCATAGAAAAGCTTATAATTTGGAACTATTTATATGTCAACAGACTTGAAGCAACTGTAACTACATGATAAAGCTAAAAAAGGTTCTAGCATAACATGAATAGTTAAGAAACATTCTAATTTCCACATTGGCTTGGTCCATTTCTTTGACATTTACAGAATATCATTCATACAGTAGTTTATAGCTCAGTTTGTCTTGATTGCTGAAAAACAAATATAGCACTGAACAGAAATTATACAATTATATATCAAGTAATATGTATAGTAAACAAGAATCCCACTATAAAATGTGAATAGACTGAAGCCTAATTGCTGAAATAATGGTAGAATAGGAACTTTAAAATCCTATACTTAGGTTTTTCTAAGAACAATGTTAAAAAAGACTAAATTATTCTATTCACTACAAATTAATCCAAATTAGTTTTGTAACAGTTTCTGTCAAATGTAAACAAACTTCTTAGTGGATAAATTTGTATCTTAGCAATATAAAATAAACTTAATGCAAAGGCACGAAACTATATTGTTATGTATTAAAATACATGGGCATTTGCTTTAAAAAAGAATTATAAATTATTGGAGTGTGTTTGTATCCATTTCATAAGTTTCAATCTTTGTTCTATGTTACAAATATCTAGTTTTGACTTCACATTTTGTTTCAATAAATAACCACCATTTCTTTATGGTAGCATACATTAATTTTTGAAAATATCATAAGAAAACCTATTATTTAAAATCATTAGTTTCAGTGGTTCATGATACTAAGCTGTTAATAAATAATACATGTGACCAGAATGACTTACTTTAATGAAAATTATTTCAAATCTGCTGGTGAGCACATAATAAAGATATGGTTAGTTTTAAAGAACTTTGCTTGGTCAAAAATTTATGAGATAGGTACATCCTCAAATATAATTTCAGTAACTTTACAAATATATTGTTAAAAAAAAAGAATTAATAAATCATTTATGAAGGTTTGTTTGTAGAAAAGAACTTTAAACAGTATTACAAACCATCAACTTAGTTTTGAGACATCCACACAACTGCCGACAAACAACATATACCAACTCTATTATCATTTTAGATAACTCTTATTTACAGTCAAATGTTATGTAACTTGTTGCTCATTTATCTAAATAAAATATAATTTAAAAAAATCAATGTTATTACACGAGATTTACATGAAGCTACAACATTTTGAAAGGACGTATCTTGCTTTGTATATGTAAATAGTTAAAACAAAATTTTAAAGCTACATATTTTACCCATTTAAAAACATGGTGCTAAAAAGCATCTCCAATGTGTTTGTTTAAGAGTAATATTTCCTTACTTTTAATAAAATATGAAACACAGAAAAAATTAAGAGCTAATTATACTATATATTTTCTAGATATTATGCAAAATGTTATAAAAACAACTGTATGAAAGACAATTACTGACTAGTTTTCTACATTATGTTCTAAAATCTAATACATATTACTTTTTAATTTAATTACAAATAAAATTTCAATGTACAGGTATCATGACATACAAAGCTGCATTTCAAAATGCAAACTAGGACTAATTTGAGTTTAGTCTACTTTTTTTTACTTTTAATGTTTTCATGCTACACCTATATAAATATCATAGTGAAGCAAGCACATTGTATTCATTAGCTTTACAAAAGTTATTTAAAAGTTCAAACATTCCCAGTACATGTCAACAAATAATCGTACTCCATCACAGCTTATTTTAATATTCACACATTGTCTCTTACCTTGCTTTAGCACACATACTCCACGTCATAACACTTTCGTTCTGTCCTTTGTTTCAACACATACATAGCCATTTTAGATCCCTCCATGTTACAACACTTTCGTTCTGTCCTTTGTTTTCTCACATACATAGCTATTTTAGATCTCTCTGTGTTACAACACTTGCATTCTGTCCTTTGTTTCATAACATACATAGTCATTTTAGATCCCTCCATGTTACAACACTTTCATTCTGTCCTTTGTTTCATCACATATATAGTCATTTTAGATCCCTCCATGTTACAACACTTTCATTCTGTCCTTTGTTTCATCACATATATAGTCATTTTAGATCCCTCCATGTTACAACACTTTCGTTCTGTCCTTTGTTTCATCACATACATAGTCATTTTAGATCTCCCCATGTTACAACATTCTGGTTCTGTCCTTTGTTTGCTCACATACATAGCCATTTTAGATCCCCCCATGTTATAACATTCTGGTTCTGTCCTTTGTTTCATCACATATATAGTCATTTTAGATCCCTCCATGTTACAACATTCTGGTTCTGTCCTTTGTTTCATCACATATATAGTCATTGTAGATCCTTCCATGTTACAACATTCTCATTCTGTCCTTTGTTTGCTCACATTTTAGATCCCTCCATGTTACAACACTTGTGTTCTGTCCTTTGTTTCATCACATACATAGTCATTTTAGATCCCTCCATGTTACAACATTCTGGTTCTGTCCTGTTTCATCACATATATAGTCATTTTAGATCCCTTCATGTTACAACACTTTCGTTCTGTCCTTTGTTTCATCACATATATAGTTATTTTAGATCCCTCCATGTTACAACACTTTCGTTCTGTCCAGTCCTATTTCACTCCACACAACCAATATGTTCCATACTCACATTATTACATTTTAACACTCACTCTCTATACCACATATCTCAACACAACTCCATTTCAACTTGTTAGAACACACTCCCTGTATCATTGTGTCATCACTTTTATTTTATCCCTAGCAAGTTTTTACACTCACACTCTTTACAAAATACACAGTTATACCAACATATTGCCACCTCAGTCTACCTACTATCACCCTTGTTTTAGTATTTGTATTCTGTTCCAGTGTTTGAACTTTGTTTCTGCTAACAATAATACTCATATTTCATTTCAGCATGTTTTAATATTCACAATCTGTACCAGTATTTTCCAACACACATGCACTGTCCCAGAGTGTTTCAAAGCCGGTTTGTTTCAAAATGTAATAAAATCATATCTTTGCACTATACATGTATTACATCTTTCAAACAGGGTGTTCCAAACACGTAACGTCTAATTATAAATATTGCTATTATACATATTTACAAATTATCTGGATTAAGTTAATCAAATCAAGAATTATGTGACCTGATATACTTTAGATACACTTCAACCCTCAGATTTTTAGCTGGTCTCCACTCATTTCTGCTTCATTTCAATGTTAGTCCCAACATTTTAGTATAAAATATTTCAGCAAACATCAAGCATTTCAAAACATGATAATTAGGTTAAATCATAGTTACCACCCTGTAATAGTGGGGTTTAAGCAAATCATACAAAAACTATTTATATAAGTGAAAGACTTACTTTGAAAAACTTTCAAATAATATGGTTTATAACATGATAATTTTGACTAAAGAGATTTCATGATAAAGATTCAACAATTTTTTTTTTACCAAGTCTATATTCATAGAATTAAAGGAAGGGTTTAGAGTTTGAGGTCCTCTGATCCTGAAATTCATACATTTTGACAGCGTAATTATTTAAGATCATGCTGATACACTTTTCACTATAATGTTTTGCAGTGTCTGTAGTTTTGAAGTAATTTTTTCCCATACCTCACATAAAGATCTGAAATAATGTTATGGTTTTAAAACTTATTTTATCTCACATTTACTAGAAAGGTTTGAAAATATTTATAGTTTTTATGATCACATTTTCTGGAAATTCTCACAAATATTTCATAATAGTTTTAAGATCCTGTTTTTTGTTCTTCAAACAAAGATCTAACAATGTTTATAGTTTTTAAGTCATCTTTTTCCCATACCTTATGTGAATATTTGAGAGGGTTTGTAGTTTTGTATCAGATTTTCCCATGCTTTGCATAAAGCTTTGAAAATGTTTATTGTTTTTAAGACCACCTTATCTTGAAACTCACAAAAGGTTGACAATGTGATTTTTTAAATTTAATCTTTTTTCTGTTCTTCAAAAGTCTAGTTGCTTAAACCTTTAAATGAATAAGATGGACAGTATTTGGATTTATTGCTCATATGCACATTTAAACTTTACATTTTTCATAAATCCTCCAAGAGCAACCTTTCAAACTGATCATTAAGTTTTAATCTTTTCCTCTTAAAATCTTCATAATATCACAACCAAACAGCTCATATTAATGCTTTTGATATGAGTGACTTTACATTAACCAGTACGTGTTTAAAAGTAATCATGTCACATTTTAACCAGCTGTTAGTATAAGAAGTACAGAATTATGGTGACTTTAAACACTGCATGTAAAAAAAAGTTACCATATACATATGCAAAGATATATTATCTCACATAATGATTTAAAAAAGATATGGACTACTATAACAAGGACAGGGCATAGTGTTTACATTTGTTTAAGATTAGGTTCCTCATAAACATTGCTTTAACTTGTAAAATTGTCACTTTACATCACATCACCATAAAGCAGACATATGATCCAATTTTACTGGGCCACAGTCCTTCACTCAGTATGCAATGGCGGCCTCCTTATACTCTGATCCTTCTTGAGTGAAGAAATCTTCTAACTTCCACTGCAAGGTTTCAAAAGTGGGCCTCTTTAGGGGGTCCTTGTGCCAACATTCCAACATTATGTCATACAAAGTCACTGGACAACCTGGTGGACAAGGCATTCGATAACCATGCTCCACCTGATGAAGAACCTCTGCATTAGTCATACCTGAAATTTAAAAAAGAAACTAATTAATAATGTTAAAACATTTCTTTCTCTTTCTTTATCTCAAATAAAGGAGAAATTGTCGTTATATTATTGCCTTAGAGAATAGATTTGGTCCAGTTTTATCATTTTGTGCTACGAGCTAAGTTCAGTCATCATTCACCCACACTCATTAAATATAACTTTACTCTGTCAAGTTCCATCCTTGAAATAAAAAAAAACATATTTATTCCAGTTTAGTGTTTGTAAGCATGAATACTATAATTAATTTTAAATGCCAATTAATGAATTATTTCTTCTCCTGAATCAGTAAAAAGATTTGTCTTCTGTATACATCATCATCATAGCATACAATGAGTTTATCAAGTAAAACACATGTAACTTGGACAGTTTACTCAACTGTATAAAAATCTTGTTTACTTATATTGATGCAGTTTGTCCATCCATTTATAATGCTATAGCTTAAACTTATGTTTCTGGTGGTGGTAGTTTTAATGTTGTTTCAAGATTAGTAATAACAAGAGCAATTGGAGAGATTGCATACCCTTGCCCTCCCACTCCTTTTCAAGATTACATGCATTTATATTAGATGACATTAAAATTTCACCCTTGAAAACTCAGAAAATCCTTCTCGGATCCACAATGATCCAGATAATATTTTGTAGTGTGATGAGGAGTTTCAACCTTAATGTGCTCATGTAATTTGGTACAAATCCAATTGCACTTTACAGAGTTATTAACCTCAAACCACAAAAGTTATAATTTTCCTAAATTAAAATCTATTTCCGATAGATACTTCTTTCTTTTCACAAGATTAGCTTTTCTTGTTTTGTGATGCCCTCTATATGTGAACTTTTTCAGAAACGCATGCCACAAGCCTTCATTATCCCTCTGTTGGAATCCAAAGTTCCAATGTGTCTCTCATACAAATCATCATGCGTCACTTCCCAACCCTATTTAGTCTTTTCCCCTCATACCACATACTAGGGTTCATGCAGACCGATTTGCCTCTCAAGTGGGAGGGGGTGTTAGTATGCCTAGTCCCCCATGGACTTCAGATCAGTTCACCCTTGCTTACCATCAGGCAGACTTTCCTTTTCTCAACCAATAGTTCTTGGGGTCAGTTCTACCTGTTTAAGGGGCAAACCCAGATTACCTTGTCCAACTTACCCAAGCCCAATTTTCTCACCTTCGTCTCACCCTCACGACCTTGTTAAGGTACCTCTCCTCTCATCTCCTTCTGTCAGAGGCTCTTCACAGAAACACTGAGGGTTTTTCTGCTGAAATCCTGTTCATCCTTACTTCTACGTTGGCTCGTCTCCAGGTTCCTTATCTGAGGGATCTGCGCATGGCACTGTTTTTGTGGTGTTATGTGTTTGATTCGGTTCCTGAGTCTTTGGAGTCATGGCTGGCTTCGATCCATCAACATTCCACCCTTACTAACTTGTTAGCTCATTTGTCACAGTCGGGGCCAAGCCCGGCACTGAATCCTGTTCCCTAATCTTCTTCTTCCTGTTCCACCCTCCTGCGGTGCTTCAGTTCCATAATTTATTTGACAAGACATGATCTGCTAAAAGCAGTACTGGTGACTACGTGGTCGGTTTGGGCCCAGTGGTCAGTGTAATTGACCAGATAATACGCAGCTAGTAAGTGCAGCAACATGATGTAATCATGTATCACACACACACATAGTAAACACAGAAATAATAATTATGTTGTATAGGAAGTAGTTTTATGTAATTATGTATCACACACACACAGAGCAGTATGAAATGACCACACAGTAGTAATGAATGAATAGTAAACATGGTGCTTCTAGGTTTCTAAAGCATTTAATGTAATTAATAAATATAGAAAAACATCTTTTGTACCAGGATAAGGGATCCTTCCATAAGTGACCAGCTCTGTCAGTAAAATTCCAAATGACCAGACATCTGATTTGATGGAGAACTTGCTGTAGTTGGCAGCTTCAGGAGCTGTCCACTTAATAGGAAACCTCGCACCTACTCGTGCTTCATACTCATCTTCCTATTAACAGACAAAAATGTGTTTTTTTTGTGTATATGATTATAACGGGTCTATCTACCACAGTTTTAGATTAATGTTCCTTTACAGGCTTAGTTATTTTTACTTACTTTGTATCTGCTACATAATCATGAAACTATACTGACTATTAAATCGATTAAAAAAAATGTCACTGTATTTACAAAGCCGCTACTGAGTCAGTCTGAGTGCAAGGAGATTTTCATGTTAAGAAAAAAACACTTTTCATATTTTATTTACATAATCTATAGAACTTCATAAATAAATAGCAATTTTTTAATGGAATTTGATATTTTATCTGTAACAAAATCAGCAATTTAGGTTATAGTGAAAAGTTCACAGTATGAAATAAATCTAAATTACTCTTTTTTTTTTTCTTTTCCTTTCTAGAATGACTACATATTGGAACAGACAGTTACACACTATTATTATTACAGCCAAACATTACACTTACCAAAACACCCTGTCACTTAGGTTTATTGCTTTACAGCTGCACTTATTAGGATTTGGCAAGACTGATTTATCAGAGGGACAGCTTTGTGCAAGCAAAATATATAGTTACCAGCATGTGCAGTCATATTAAAAATCATCTGTTTTTTCAATGTGTGCAAAGTGTCGTTTTTTTTTCCATTTAACTTTTATTATCTAGCATTTATTTACTTTTATTACAATAAATAAAAACCAACATAACAAAACAAGGAACTTAGTACTTACTTGTGGGTCTTGTACTTTTTTGCTCTCACAAAAGTAAACCCTACTTTTTAGTATGGTTGTTAATAGTTCTTTACCTGATTTTTATTAATTTCAAATATACAAATATCTATATTATAATTTAAATGGCTTTCTAGCTAAGCTAAAAGTATGTTAAAATAATTCCATTAGCTTGTTGGGGTGATCTTGGTGGTAGGAAATAATGTAACAGTAAGCTGAAAAATTCAGACGTGTTGCCAGAATGAGCCAACCTTGTAGATAATTCAATAAATTAAAATCTTCACTTTCTGTTAGTAATACATAATCCAAAAGTAGATTCCAGAGAGAATTACTGACATTAAGATAAGAAGCTATAAGTTTACATTATTTCTTAGCAATGTTTGCACTGTAAGTATGTAATTTGGGAAGAACTCAGAAGATCATACAGGAGTAGAAAGAAATTCTAAAATAGGCAATTAGGAGTATAGAAGTGTCACTTGATATAAAGAAGTGAATATTGAGAATTTATTTAAACATTTCCTTTTAAACTTAAGAAATTAGAAATTATATAATATTTGAATATTAATTATAAAGTAGGTTTTGATACCAAGTTTATTGACATGCATTGGTAGTAAAGTATTTTAACTAAATAGTAAATAATTTATTATACCTGTGGTCATAAATATGGTTTTTTTCATCACTTTGTAAAACAGCCCAAATTATTTTCACAGTTTCATAAAACTTGCATAGAAAATCAGATATGCAAAACTGTCACAAAAATTAATTAATTAAGACTAATTTGAGTTTTCAAAGTAACCCAAAACCATTTATTAAAACATTTATTTTGTTTTTTCTTTTAGATTGGTAAAATAACTATTTACTTTTACAAGGAAAAGATGTTAATTTATTGGTTGTATTTCCTAAATAAAATTGAAAATTTTTTATCTAATTTTAAATATCAACATTTTTGTAGGAATCACTTTGTTATAACAATAAAATAACATTCACACTTACTTAACAAAAACAGCTGCTTTGTCATAGCACTAAAAGTACAAACACACTCATAACAAAAAACATTACCTCAACATAAAAATAAAACAGTCAAGTAGTTGTAATAATAAAATGCCAATCATTTGGCTATTACATTAAATAAGTTTGTGAATGTGACAAGTATGTATATACAGAATCTAGCTTATTAAGTGTACATTACCTTTATAAGCCTAGCCAAGCCAAAATCTGCTATTTTCACAACATTACTTTCTCCAACGAGAATATTCCTAGCAGCTAGATCTCTGTGAATATAGTTCTGAGACTCTAGATAAGCCATACCAGCAGCAATCTGAGCTGACATATCAATCAACTGTGGAAGTTTTAAAGAACGTCCTTTTCCTAAAGACAAATATAACACATACATTGTTTTAAAATAATAAAATTATTTTAATACTTCTTTTATAAATAAGCTAGTTATGGATAAACAACAATATTTTTACTTTAAGATCTACAGAGTTCTTACATGATGTGTGACAGTATGCAGCATCTGTATTGCATACATGATATGAGGTAAAGTAACATACTTTGGACAAAAAATTATTAAAATTACAAATTAAAACATATTATGTTTGTACAGATTTAGTTCTTATGTGGCTCACTTCTTTAACTGTCAAATCATGTTATCAGAAAATTTAAATTAGCTTTCTTAAAAAGAAAAAACAACATTTTTAAAGTTAACATTCTTTACCAGCTCAGTAATAAGATTATTAGAAAGCAAAGTTTAAATCATTTTCTAAACTGCAAGATTTATTTATCTATTTTTTTTATGAACTCAGAAAACTAGCCATAGTAAGATACAGGTAACACTAACATAATGTCTCTGAAATACAGATACATTTCTTACTATAGCAGGAGTTTGTTGGAATATCTGCAAGGTAGCTACAGGTAACACTAACATAATGTCTCTGAAATACAGATACATTGCTACCTTACAGATATTCCAACAAACTCCTGCCATAGTAAGATACACGTAACACTAACATAATGTCTCTGAAATACAGATACATTGCTACCTTGCAGATATTCCAACAAACTCCTGCCATAGTAAGATACACGTAACACTAACATAATGTCTCTAAAATACAGATACACTGCTACCTTGCAGATATTCCAACAAACTCCCGTTTTTCATCAACTCTGTGATGATATAAATAGGTTCTTCTAGTGTACAGACGGCATACAGCTGGACAAGTTTGAGATGCCTTAGTTTTTTCATGATCTGAGCCTCAGCAAGAAAGTCCTTGGGATCCATTGTTCCTATAGAGAAAATAAATGACAAAAATCATACCAACAATTAAATTTAATACCGTATTTCTCTGGACATTCAAGTTTTGTTTCATTCCATTTTAGAATTAGCATTACCAACATATCATTGTAAATTCATTGAAAAACAAAGGTTTTTCAAACAATTATGTATAAATCCATTAATTAATTTCCAATCAGAGCAAGCTACCTACCTACTTAGAACAAAACTAAAAATCAACCCAGTAATGATGATTTTCTTATGTTCTTACTTATAAAGAGTGGAATGCACTGTTTCACCAGTTGGGTTCCCTCAGTGCTACCAATATATTTGGTTGTAGTCATGGATACTAACAGTTCAGCATAATTTATTCTCAAGTATATAGAAAACAATTAATTTAAAAGGACTTTTCTTAGGAAACTTTGTAAAAAGGACATGAATCCAAAACATGCTGTAAGGCAGTCTGTTATTAAGTTGATGCACCAGATACTCTGTTACAAACAGTGAAGATTTCTCAGCTCGTATTATAAACTACAAAGTTATTTGAACCCCCTGATACATAGCCTGATAATAACTATCTCTGTTACATACTACATGAGTTGACATCATGAAGATAAAAGTTATCCAAGTCTCTCTTATTTCAGTAAGATACACGAGTCTCTACAACTTTCACTGGAGTCTTATAGTCCTTTACATCCTAAAGACGTCAGAGGAGCCTCTGCAACGTGCAGACATTCCATCCGAACCTATATACAGTGAAATTATGTAAGTCTGTTCTTTACAGTGAAAGTATATGAGCCTTTATTTGATGTAGAATGTGTATCTGATACTTGTAATGAGGTGCTTTGATGCTCTGCTACTTGCAGTAAAATCATGTGAACCTCTTTTACATGTAATGGTGTTATGTAAAACCTGTTACATGTAGTGGAGTTATGTAAAACCTCTGTTACATGTAGTGGAGTTATGTAAAACTTCTGTTACATGTAGTGGAGTTATATAAAACCTATATTACATATAGTGGAGTTATGTAAAACCTATGTTACATATAGCGGAGTTATGTAAAACCCTGTTACATGTAACGGAGTTATGTAAAACCTCTGTTACATGTAGTGGAGTTATGTAAAGCCTATGTTACATGTAGTGGAGTTATGTCATACAAGCCTATGTTAATGGTGACAGTATGTAAGCCAATGTTAAGAGCAAAATTATGTAAGCCTATGTTGATGATGATGTCATGCAAGCCTATGTTAATGGTGACATTATGTAAGCCAATGTTAAGAGCAAAGTTATGTAAGCCTATGTTGATGGTGATGTCATGCAAGCCTATGTTAATGGTGATATTATGTAAGCCAATGTTAAGAGAAAAGTTATGTAAGCCTATGTTAATGGTGACATTATGTAAGCCAATGTTAAGAGCAAAGTTATGTAAGTCTATGTTGATGGTGATGTCATATAAGCCTATGTTAATGGTGACATTATGTAAGCCAATGTTAAGAGCAAAGTTATGTAAGTCTATGTTGATGGTGATGTCATGCAAGCCTATGTTAATGGTGACATTACGATAGCCAATGTTAAGAGCAAAGTTATGTGAGTCTATGTTGATGATGATGTCATGCAAGCCTATGTTAATGGTGACATTATGTAAGCCAATGTTAAGAGTAAAGTTATGTAAGCCTATGTTAGAAACAGAGTTATGTAAGCCTATGTTAAGAGCAAAGTGAGGTAAGCCTATATTAATGGTGACATCATGCAAGCTTACGTTAAGGGTGATGACATGTAAGCCTGTGTTAAGAGCAAAGTGAGGTAAGCCTATATTAATGGTGACATCATGCAAGCTTACGTTAAGGGTGATGACATGTAAGCCTGTGTTAAGGGCAAAGTTATGTAAGCCTTTATTACATACAGAAGAATTTTCCAAGTTTCTATGATGAACAGCTAAGTTGTCTGATGTTTTATTGCTACCTGAGCATACAAGTGTACAGTAAAGAGATCTGAGACATTTATGGAATTACACAAAGTGAAACAAGTTTACCTTTTACAATAGTTCTGAAAACCTTTATCAGGCATAGTAAGTTTGTCTGATCATTCACTGTGTACAGTGAAGCTAAAACTTGTTACATCTAGTGAAGCCATATCATTAGCTTTTACAAAACAAGTAACATATTTTGAGTGTATTTAAAGCAAATTCTTACACTTATATCAAACTACAAATATATGGTATGACATATGGCAATAAACTTTTCTCATTTTGTTAAGCAAATATCAAAGCTAATAATTACCGGGCTTGAGTGTTTTGATTGCTACTGGTGTGGTATTATTCCACAATCCTTCCCAAACCTCACCAAACTGTCCTTGCCCGAGCTTCCTCACAAATTTCAGCGAACTACGTTCTATCTCCCATTGATCCCTGGTGTTGTGGGAGAGACCACTTGTTGTTGGCTTTTCAACCTATAAAGCAACAAGAACTTTATACCAAAACTTGTCCAGTTCTTTATTTCAAACCAGAAAGTTCTTACTCATCCATAACTACACAGTCTTCCATCTAAAATGCTTTTATTTTGTGTAAATAAACAAAAATCTGCAGAAACTTCTTTCCATGTTAGTCTTCACAAATGTAGCTAGAATATTCTGACAGCACATACACTGGGAAAACATAAATTCTTTTCTAAATAAGAATAAAGTCCTCATTATTAACATAATCTGCACAACTAAGAGTTATCAGATCTGTTTTTCTTCCAGATTATGTCTTGGCAGTATTAATGATGCACACTAACCCCATCATATCATCCTAATTTTTATCATCACTCCTGTAGACAATGTATATTTCACACAGACTCAGAATAAAAAAATTCTCAGAGATTGGGATATATATATTAAACTACTGTTTCTTTTATGTTTCATGTTTTTCCATTTAATTTCAAAGTACATTTGGAATAGATTATGAGAAAAATATATTGTTTAGAAAAATTAAAAGTATTCACACACTCAAACAATCAAATGGAAAACAATATTAGAAAGAATAATAGCTTCAATATTGAACATAATTTATATTCTAATTAATTAAAAGGAGTGAATACTGATAAACTGGACTCTTTAAAACTTGGCATCACAGTGAAATGGCAGAAAAATAGACTGCCAACTATCTCATGTAAGTGAAACATTTCTCTACTTGATTATATTTATTAACATGACAGTTACCTGTATATAAGGTACTGCCAACTATCTCTTGTAAGTGAAACATTTCTCTACTTGATTATATTTATTAACATGACAGTTACCTGTATATAAGGTACTGCCAACCATCTCATGTAAGTGAAACATTTCTATACTTGAATATATTTATTAACATGACAGTTACCTGTATATAAGGTACTGCCAACTATC